TTTTGCTCTACATGCCTCAGCAATGCATCAGTGTATCTACTCAGATTGATGATTTAGATGCCTTAGCACCTCTTTTTCTTGGATGAAATAAGACCAGTAAGTCTATTTTTCTTATGCTCAGTCCTTTTCACATAAAGCTTTAAGGCTCATCTTACATTCAACAAATGCCATAGCTTCTTCTTTGGGTGAGAAGGATGTGGACAAAAAGCAGGCAATGAGATCCCTTGTGCTTGATGAAAAATCCAATTCACTTTTGGAATAAAGGTGGGATCCATTCTCAAAGCCACCTTATCTTTGTAAAAGATGCAACAGGATGGATAATGCTCCCAACTCTAACAACTTTCTTGCTGAAGAAGTGATAGCAGTCAGAAAAGTCGTTTTGATAGTCAAGTAAAAAGGACACCTGAATTATGGCACTGAGTACAACGTTTAAATTCCAAGATGGCGATTTAGGCTCTCTCACCTGGGAGGGGAAGGTGGTGAAGGCGATGAGCTCTCTCGCTGCCTCTAAGGTCTCCAGTGTGAAGGGCAGCTCCAAAGCCTCTCTGCGACTCTCCCGAGGAGGGGAGTCCTGAGGAGCTGGACTCGACTGACCCCTTGTTGGCGCAGGAGTCAGCAGTGCCAGGCGAGGTGGTGCCGCGCTTACTTGGCCCAATGTGAGTCTCACTGCTCCAGTGAGGGGAGGGATAGCTCAGTGGTTTGAGCATTGGCCTGCTAAACCCAGGGTTGTGAGCTCAATCCTTGAGGGGGCCATTTAGGGATCTGGGGCAAAAATCTGTCTGGGGATTGGTCCTGCTTTGAGCAGGGGGTTGGACTAGATGTCCTCCTGAGGTCCCTTCCAACCCTATATTTAAAAAAAAAAAGAGTCCTTCCATCCCAGCCTCAGTGTGGATGAGTGCCCTCTGTCCAGCTTCTTCTTCTTGCGGGGCACCCAGGCACTGGTGAACAGTGCCATGCATTGCCATGCTTGGAGCCCTGTTGGGGCCGAGCATCTGTACCCAAGTCTTTTCTTGGTGCCGAAATTTCCTGGGTCAATGCCGGAGCACTGTGCACCAATGTTGAGGTGCTAGGCATCAGTTTGGCCAAACTCGGGTCCGAGTGGGGGCAGAGGGCAGCCTCCATCAGAAGGATCTTCAACCATTGGTCTCTTTCTTTTTGAGTCCTGGGGCAAAATCCCCTACAGATTTTGCAATGGTCCTTCTGATGCGATTCCCCCAGGCACTTCAAGCAGGAAGTGTGAGGGTTGCTCCTGGTCATAGGCTTGTTACAAGCTGCACGGGGTTTAAACCCTGGGACCGAGGCATGCCCCGGCACTGGGGAAGAGGGGGTAGGGAAGCAGAGGGTACTCCCAGAACAATTCCCAACAGGAATCCAACTATATAATGACTAGCTACAA